TCGGGGGCCTCTGCACCTACACTGCAGGCAGGAATGGAGAAGCTCACTGCTTCCTAAAGGCCCTTCCTGAATGGAACCCTCCCACTCTTCCTCCATCCCAACAGTGCAGGCTTGTCCCTCTGCCCCCAAACTTCGGGGCACTGGGGTGTTTGGCTGGACAGGGGTCTTCCAGAGCCACTTCCACATTGTGGACTCTCTCCCAGAGTTAGCATGACAAAGATGCTGCTTGCCAACCTGGTTAACCCACTCACCAGACTAACCAGGGCTCTGCAGCGCTCCTTCCACAGCCTCCTGAATGCCAAAGGCTAGCTTGCAGGCCACTTGTCCCCCTTGGGTGTCGGCCATGGAGTGGCATACTTGCCAAGAGTCTGTTGGGTTCCTTCCCAAACCAGTTTGCACCAGCCGCACTTGTTATTGTGAGGAGGTCATTGAATTCAATATCCCTTAAGCTGGTGAAATACGAGTGCAAAAGGAAGAGATTTATTTCTATGAAAACTCAATGAGGATTAGTTGCTACAAAGAAATCCTGTTAAATTAGGTGTGGAAGAAACAACCACAAAAGATCTGTTAAAAAGAAAAACCCACAAGAATCCAGGGGGATTGTGCCATCAAGTTGCTACACGAGTGTCTGCAGGGCCTTGCTTAACCGTAAATAAACCAGAGGACAATGTGCAAGGCCATAGGAGAACTAAGACTAGATTGGAAAGTGAGGGCATGTTTATGTTTTTGAGTGGATAAAATATTCAAGGTATACATCATTTAAAAGAATTCCCTCTTATGTCATTTAAAAGAATTGGTAAGAGAATTACCAATAGTTACTAATTTAAAAATCTAAGAGAAAAAAGTATAGATATCGGCTAGACCATTTTCTCTATTTTCATGTGTATTTGAGAATTTTCACAATAAATATTTTTTTTTAAAATCCTTTTCCTCTGTCCATCCCTCCCCTATTTTTTTCCCCCTGCTGTTTCTTTGGTCTGAACCAGAGGGTTCTTCTGAGGATGAGAGTGAATGGGACATTTGTGGGGCAGTTCCTATGATCCAAGCACGAAGCAGGCCTCTCTCCGTTTACTCCTTATGACAATGCTTCACTTCCTCCCTACAGAGGGGGAAACCCAGGCCCTGAGTTTGCAGTAACTTGCTCCCTGTCATGCGGCCCAGGAATGGGGAGCCCCGGAAGGGGTGGCTGTCTGCTGAGCTCTTGCTGCTAACAGTGGCCCTTCCCTGCCAGCAAGGAGTCTGTCCTGGATCAGGTGGCCCCTGCTACCATATAGTAATGGACCTCAGCCACCACAGACAGGGGCCTGTCCCTTCCCCCTGCCCAGGCCAAGCCCTCCTGTCCCCAGCAGCGTAATATATTGGAATCAAGAGACAGCAGAAATAGAGGGAACAGAGCTCACAATTCACAAGACATTTTGGCTGGAAAGGGTGAAACAAAGAGTCTGAGGCCAGAAAAATGTGCATTAAATAGGCTAATGCTAGTTGCTGTGCCGTCCCATGCTTTAGCCACTAGCTGTATGTGGCCATTTACAGTCAAATTCATTAAAATTAAGCTGTGCTTAAAACTAGTTCTTTTATTGCACTAGACACACTTCAAATTTGGCTACTACACTGGACAGGACAGATACAGGACACCTCCATCATCATAGAGAGATCTACTGCACAGCACTTGCGTGGCGTGGAGGGTAAGATCGCAGAGAGACTATGCAACCAGACTCGCTGGTTTTCAATGTGGGCTTCTCTCTGCTGTTACCCTGGGCCTCAGTTTATTCACCTAGAAGATGGGGATAATAATGTGAGAAGCCCATGAATCTGGGGCCAGTGGTTAGTCAGTTAATCGAGACAAATCACACAGTTGTCATTTGTTCCCCCAAAGAACACCCTCATCTTCCCGGGAACAGTGGGGCTCTGGCCTGGAAACACTGGTATTTCCCTGGCAATACTCAAGGTTCCATCTCTCCAGGTCTTCAACCACAAGGTTTTTCTTCCAGTGCCCAGAACATTCTGGAAGACCTTAAAATCCTACCAACATCATTCTTGAATTAGCAAGAAGCAGCTTTTACTTTCTTGCAGGCCAGATCTCTAAATGATAATCAGGCTGCAGAAAGGCCACAGCTGCCATCTCCAAGTAGCTAGTACCTGATGTCCCCTGAGGTTAGAATAATCCATTCTAACAAGAAAGAGATCTTATCAGGAAAAACGGCCAGGACCTCTGGTCTTCTGGAAAATTACTGAGCTATATTTTAAGTATAAAAGTCAGTCTCTTAAGATTACAATTGCCCTGCAGAATAAGCAGTTTGGAAAGGGGAGAGAAGAATGAGTGGGGTGGGGGGCTGCTGACAGGAACCGGAGCTCTCCGTGTTGAGTGCTTGTTCACACATTTCCATTCAGTGTCCACAGGAATCTGTTAGGCAGCCATCCCCAGCCCCAGAGTCCCAGATGCTGAAACCAGGGCTTAAAGAGGTGAACTCGCCTGCCCAGGATGGAATGTAGGCTGGCTCTGCTTTCTCAACCACTGCCCCACCACGGGTGGCCTTAGACGAGTCCCCTCTCTCCCTGACATGGGAATGGCAAGGCCTGGCTGGCTCACAAAGCTTTCGAAAGGCTCTAGACTCAGATATGAAGGGACTGAAGGGTGCCTGGGGCTCACCTGGTGGTTGGGATTACTTTTCTGTTGTCCTCAAAACTGTCAACCTTGGAGCTCTGCAAGAAGAAACACCAAGGCCTTCTCGAGGGGTCACGGTTGTGACACTAGCACAACAGGACAGAGGAAAATCACTAGGTCCCCTGATCCCCAAAGCAGGAAGGAGACAGAAGCTGGGTATCTCAAGGGGGGGCCTCGGGTGTTGCTGTTTTGGGTGACTGTTCAGCTGACGATTTTCCAAGCTGAGAAACACACATACACAAACTCTAACCTCCTCTGCCTTAAAATAGAGCTGCTGAACCAAAAATGCCAAGTACAGGGCAGAGTCACCTGCCTGGAAGGCAGACAGTCCCCTCCCCCCAGCCCCAATAATACCCACCCACAGCAGGTGCATTAGACAGAGCACCTCTCAGCTGTGTGTCACAGGACCTTTGCAGAGGAGGGGGAGTGTGGTGGCCCAGGCTCCCTATTCCCTTTTCAGGTAAGGACGGCCAGGTCCATGGAGCTGAGGGGGGAGGGAGGGAGGTGCCAGCAGCATCAGTCCAGACAAGTATCGTGATCTCAGGAGTCAAACAGCCCCAAATTCAAGTCCTGCCCTGGCCATGACCTGAGAGTGAGGACTTGGCGATTACCCTGCACCTGCTTCCTGCACACTGAAGCAAGGGTTCCATGTGAAGTCCATGAGATGTCCAGTCCAGACAGGTCGCCCCAGCCTTAGCCTTGACCCTGCTTCTGGAAACATATTTCTTGATCTCCTCCCTGCAATCGCGGGAAAATTAGGGTGGCTGCAGGAAACAAGGCATGGTGGAGGCTGGAGCCAGCTCGGGGACACACTAAGGCTGCAGCAGAGACCTGGGGAGGCTGGGAGCTCCCTGCTGGGAGTCCCCAGCAGGCTCACCAGGACGCTGAAAACAGTGTCACTTGGTACTGGGGAACTGGAGTGGGATCTGGAGGAGTGGGGTCAATGGAAGGCCTAACATTGAGCCCTTCAGGCCCAAGACCAGGGGCCACCCTGAGTCCTCTCCTTTCCCCGCCACATAACTCATCAGCAAGTCCTAGCCCTCCACCTATCAGAGTAACAGCCCCAAATCTCAGGGGCTTCACACAATGCAACAGAAGTTCAAAATGAGTGTTCCTGATGGTACATGGCCCTGCAATGTCTCTTTAGTGTTCTGCATTCAGCCTGCAGGTGGGGAACAAGGAGAGCACTTTAAGGGGCCAGACCTGGGAGTGGCAGACATCACTTCTGCCCATTGTCTACTGTCTGCAGCTTGGCCATGCGGACACTCCCAGACACCAGGAAGACCCCTTAACATGCTGGCTGGGAACCCGGCTCCATTTGCCTAAGTTACTCCAGATTCATCCATTTCTCTCCTTCTCCAGTGCCATGTGCATGAGCCAGGCCACCTTAACCCACTTGGAGTTACACCAGCCTCTCCTCTGCTCTCCGCCACCTTCCCCCTTCCACATGGCAGTCCGATGCGCTCTCTCTCTCTCTCTCTCTCTCTCTCTCTCTCTCTCTCTCTCTCTCTCTCTCTCTTTGATGTTTTTAGTTGTAGCTGGACATAATACCTTTATTTTATTTATTTTTTTGTGGTGCTGAGGATCGAACCCAGCGTCTGGCACGTGCTAGGGAGCCCCCTATGGCTGAGCCGCAGCCCAACACCACCACCATGCTCTTTTTAAAAAATGTGACTCAGATCGCTGTGTTGTGTGTGTGCTGCAGCAGCCTTTCTGTAGTTTTCAGTCCTGCTGAAGAACAGACCCACATAAGATCCTGTGCGAAGTCTGTTGTCTCCCTTCTGTCCCCTCCCCACCCTGCACCCCAATTCTCTGGACTCCAGCCACACTGGCTTCCTTGCTGCTCCTGGCTGCCAAGCCTGCCCCCTCCTGTTTGGAAGCAGAAACCTGCACTGGCTGCCTGGGTGCCTCACCTGGGTGACTTTCCCGACCACCTGAGCTGCTGCTCAGGAGCATCTTCCTGGGGCACTGCTTTCCTCTTTTCACACGGTCTGGAGTGACCTGTGTGTGTGTGTGTGTGTGTGTGTGTGTGTTAGCCAACCCTGCTACAGCTTTCTTTTCACCAGGAATCCTGTGTGCATCAGTAGGTGCGGGGTGGACACCTGCCGGATGATTGACTGACGGAAGGAAAGCGGGCGCGGAAGGCTGGCCCACGGTCGCAGCGTGAACTAGCGGTGGAGACGGACTTCTGCAGACCCGGGCCGTCAGGGTCTGAGAGCCCGGCGCCGGCAGGAGCCGAGGCCGACGCGAGGGGGCGGAGCGCGGGGGAGGGCAGGCCCCGCCCTGCTGTCGGCTGGGCGCTGCGTGTCCGCCGTCGGGGCGCGGGCCGGGCGCCATGTGGACGGCGCGGGCGAGCGCGCGCACCGCGGCGCTGCTGCTCTGCGTCCTGTGCTACCTGCTGGCGGGCGCCGCCGTCTTCGACGCGCTCGAGTCCGAGGCGGAGAGCGGCCGGCGGCGGCTGCTGGCCCAGAAGCGCGGCGAGTTCCGGAGGAGGTTCGGCTTCTCGGCCGAGGACTACCGCGAGCTGGAGCGCCTGGCGCGGCAGGCAGAGCCGCACCGCGCCGGCCGCCAGTGGAGGTTCGCCGGCTCCTTCTACTTCGCCATCACCGTCATCACCACCATCGGTGAGCCGCCCGGCGCGTCCCCTCCGCGCCGCTCGGTCCCAGCCGCGGGCGCCTCCGGGTTTCAGGCCACCTCCGTCCAGCGGAGCGACTTTGGACGGGTCCGAGCCTCTCTTGCCTCCTGCCGAGTAGGGCTGTCAGTCAGCCGAGGCAGGACCTGCAGGCGACAGTGTTAGTTGAGAGGCTGGCGCAGGAGTGCTCGGACACGCCCCAGGGGCTGGGGGACAGACGAAGTGGGGCTGCAGGACCAATTGCCCAGAGTTGCTTCCTTGCCCGTTGCATCGCACCAGCTGTGTGACCTTAGACGAGTTGCTTAAGCTCTCAGAGTCACATTTTTCTCTTGTGAAATTACAGTGTTTACCGATTAGCTCTGTTCCGGTTTTATGGGGAGATTATTATCAAGAAGATAATAGGTGCAAAAGTTTTAGCGCACTGCCTGACACAGAAAGCACTACCAAAAAAAGTTTCTTGAGTTATAATGATAATAATTATTATTATTACTCCATGAGAACAGAGACCTCATCTGTGTTAGTCACTGCTGTATGGCCCAGTGCCTAGCCCATAATAGATGCTCAATAAATATTTGTTAATGGAATGACTAATTACCACAAGCTTTGGACCACACCCTCAGGGATCAGAGCAGTTCTTTGCAGCATCTGGGCCACCAGCTGTTGCCATGACTACCGTCTGACTGGTACCTACTGAGTCTAAGTCTGGGGAAACCGCAAAGGAGAGAAGCATGCGCTGCAAGGCTCCAAGCTTGGTGCAGCCACCCCACAGGTTCAGCTCAGGATGTGCAGGCACCTCCTTGGGCTGGGAGCAGTCGTCTGGAAGCCCCAGCCCTGGAGAGAGTTTCTCCTTAATGCTCTTGCAAGCGAATGGGAGCTGTGGGCTAAGGGGGGGAGTTCAAAGCACAACTTGTACAATTACATGGAGTTTTGTGTTCCTTTCCACTGCCACCTACCCTCTCAGGCAATTGATTGTACCTCTCTGAGCCCTGGTTTTATCAAAGGCAAAGTGCAATTGTTCCTGCCTCACTGGGTGGTTGTCAGGTTTAGGTGAGGTCAAGGCCCGGTGCCTGAGGCTAAGGAGGCACTGTTCATTAGTAATAATAATTCCTTACTGTCAACTCTGACTCCAGCTCCCATTCAGCCCTTTTGCCCCCTCCTGTCTACATAGGCACCACTGCTTCTCTATCTGGGTTCAGCCTGAGTCCTTCCCTGTCACTGTGTCACTGTGGATGCCACCCCACCCACCTTTTCTGCCCTTCCCTACATTCTTTGGAGGCCGTCCAGATGGGTTTGGCTTCCCTCCTGCCTGTACCCCTCTGACATGCCTGTGGAGCCCTGGGAAAGAATAACTGAGTGGAAATAGGAGTTTGCCTTGGCTGACCACTTGGGGGCGCCACCACCTGCACGCTGGTCTGGTCTGCTTAAACCAGCCTTGCAGATAGCCCTGCACCAGGGCCCAGGAACCTGACCTCTGTTTGGATAGAAGAAAAGCATTCAGAAGCCCTGGGGATAGTGGCTACCAACTCAGGCCCTGGGACCTTTGGGCAGCTTCCTTCCTCTGAGCCTGGTTTCCTTATCTCTAAAATAGGGATAATAATGTCATCTCATATGGTCACCCGGAGGGCATGTAGAGTACTAGTATGTTGAGTTACTATCATTATTTGTTTCGTTATCTGCCCAAATCTGGCATAGCCTAGAGCAGGGGAAACAGCATTTCCTGGACTCTTATTCCTAAAGAGGCCCTTCTGTCTCCCTCTAGCATCCCCTCAACTTGATTTCAGTCAATAAACTGTTATGGAGCAGCCATGGTTCCTGCCCTCAAGGAGCTTAAGTCTGATGATGGACAGAATCCCCTTTAAAAGGACAGACATAGGGGCTGGGGATGTGGCTCAAGTGGTAGCGCACTCGCCTGGCATGCGTGCAGCCCGGGTTCGATCCTCAGCACCACATACAGACAAAGATGTTGTGCCCGCCAAAAACTAAAAAATAAATATTTAAAAAAAAAAAAAGGACAGAGGCAAACTGTCAGGGCCAGGCAGGAGCACTGTGGAAGGCAGCCTTAGTTCTTTAGCTGTACAGTTCTTTGCGTTGATGGTGTGAATGGTCCACATGCCCACGGCACACACTTCACAGAGCGTGAAAAGGTGTTAAATGTAAAGGAAATCTTCCGGCTGCCCTGTCTCTTAACCCATCACTTCCTCTCTCTCTCAGTCAGATAGAGTCGCCACTTTCTTGTGTATCCTTCAGTCTGTATTCTCTGCCAATGTATTCCTTTGCCACAACACACGTCATAGGGACATTATATCATACACATGATTTTGTCTCGTTTTTTTCACTTAATATATTTTGGTGTGTTTTAATAACAGTCCCTAAAGAGCTGGGTCATCTTTTCATTGCAGTTAGCAGGGCATCTCAATCTCTGATCTACTGACATCTTGGCCTGGTGGTTCTGTTGTGGAGGTGTCTTGTGCATTGCAAGATATTAGTATTTGTGGTCTCTATCCTGGAGAGCCAACCACACAGTCACCCTCCCCTTCCCCCTAGTTGTGACAAAAATGTCTCTAGATATCACCAAATGTCCCTTCAGGGGAAAAGCACTCTGGGCTGAGAACCACTACTGTGTGGTACTCCATCTTTCAGATGGCACCATGATGTATGTAGCCAAGCCCCTATTGATGGACACCTAGGTTGTTCCTAATTTTTGCTAGGACTGAAAATGCTACAGTGACTACCCAGAGCATATGTCATTTTGCTCACATGTGAGGGCTAACTTCCTAACTGTGAAACTACCTACCTAGACCGGAAGGCTCGTGTATTTTACATTCTGGCCAGTGGCGCTGATCTGCTGGAAGAGGCATATTCTGTTGGAGAGACCCACCTGACTTCTCCTGGTTTATGGACCCTTGAAAACTATTGCTTCTCTCTCCAGAAAGAGGCACACACCCCCCCCCCCATTCTGCATTAATGGCATCCTGATGCAAGATTCAAGGAAGTCCTCTCATGTCTTGATCCCCTATAAGAGTGAGGGGTGCAGTGAAGAAATCCCTACACCAGATCCAAACAGAATCAAGAGGCATTTAGTGAGGGCTGGCCAATGGCAGAGGTGGAGGTGAGATTTGGAAAGGGAGGAGTGGACTGGGGGAAAGGAGAAAAGGCCATCCAGCAGGGAGAAGCCATGAGAAACAGCCTGTGGGGGTGGGTTCTGCTGGCGGGGAAACAAGGCATAGCCAGAGAGTGGGGTGCCAGAGAAGGGGTGCGGCTGGAGAGAGGCGCCCGATCAGGAAGGAGCTGGGATGCCTCTTGAGGCTGGGACTTTACCAGTGGACACTAGAAGCCTTTGCCTGGCTTGGTTTGGTTTTGTGTCCGAGGTACGCTTACACATAGTGAAACAGCGATTCTCAGAGCGTGAACCATTCCCTCCGCCTCTGGCTGCTCTGTACTTAATTCCTATTAAGTTCTGTACTTAACCCCTCTTCCAACCCCAGAAACTGGCAACCACGGATCTGTTCTCTGTCCCCATAGCTGTGCTAATCCCAGAATGTCTTTCAATGGAACATGTGGCACATTCTACCTTTTGGTTTGAGATCCAACTTTTGTGGCTGCAAGCAACAGTCGGTTGTTCCTTTCACTGCCACAATAGAGACGCAATAGTTTTCAAGACTCCATAAACCAGGCGAAGTCAGGTGGGTCTCTCCCTTGCTGGGATGTGCCACAGGTTGTTATCCATTCCCTAATGGAGGGATATTCGGGTTGTTTAGTCTGGGGAGATTACGACTAACCTCTCAAGGTCTTAAAGCCAGGGAATGGCCTGGTTAGGTCTGGCATTTGACGACGCTCAGAGGCTCTCGGATGGGGGGACACCCAGGGGCAGGCTGCCACCAAGGGTGTTGAGGGTGTTGGTAGACAGAGCCGGGCTCTCACCACCCTCCCTCCGCTCTCCCGCCACAGGGTATGGCCACACGGTGCCAGGCACGGACTCGGGCAAGGTGTTCTGCATGTTCTACGCCCTCCTGGGCATCCCCCTGACGCTGGTCACCTTCCAGAGCCTGGGTGAGCGGCTGAACGCGCTGGTGCGGTGCCTCCTGCTGGGGGCCAAGCGCTGCCTGGGCCTGCGAAGGCCCCACGTGTCCACCGAGAACATGGTGGTGGCCGGGCTGCTGGCGTGCGCCGCCACCCTGGCGCTCGGGGCCGCCACCTTCTCGCACTTCGAGGGCTGGTCCTTCTTCCACGCCTACTACTACTGCTTCATCACCCTCACCACCATCGGCTTCGGGGACTTCGTGGCGCTGCAGAGCGAGGAGGCCCTGCAGAGGACACCGCCCTACGTGGCCTTCAGCTTCCTCTACATCCTGCTGGGGCTCACGGTCATCGGCGCCTTTCTCAACCTCGTCGTCCTGCGCTTCCTGGCCGCCAGCGCGGAGGGGCCCCAGCGCGCTGCCCGCCTGGCCGGCTCGCTTCACCGGGCGGCGCCGGAGAGCCACGCGCGGCCCCGCGGAGGAGACGCGGGCCCGGCGGGCTCCATCTGCAGCTCCTGCCGCCGCATCCGGCAGCTGGAGAGGTGCGCCCGCGACAATCTGGGCTTCTCGCCCCCCTCGAGCCCTGTGGCCGTGTGCGGCAGCAGGGCAGACAGGCCCCGGGCCCGGTCCATCTGACAGCCCTGGCCAGGCGGGGTCAAACCTGGTTGGGAGCATCTGGAGCATCTCCCAGGGCACCCACCGGGGGCTTGGAGAGGAGCCAAGGCCTTGAGGTTGTCTTCTGCAAGGAGTGGCTCCTCACTACCTTCTGATGCTCATCTCTTCCAGCCCCTCAAAAATGCGTTATGCTGCATCACAAGCACAAGCTAGTCTGTAGTCACTCCATAGGTGCACATTGCTGCAAGAAGGCCTGGCCACATCAGCACCTGGGACAGCCCTTGCATTGGACCACCTTACCTGAGGGCCCTTCAGAGGGGAGACTTGTGGCTACGTGTTTTGTGAAGAGGTGGATCATGTGCGGCAGGGAAATGTACAACTTTCAGCACTGGAACCCTATGGGGAAGCCAGGTGCTCAAGCTAGAAGCATGGAGAACAGATGCACGGAAGGAAACCTCCCCAGCGGCCATTTTTTGCACATTTAAATGACTTCTTTCTGTTCACCCAGCCTGTACAGAATTACCCACGTTTGAATGATCACCCCCACTGCATAAAGCTGCTCCTTTGTCCTTAGCCAGCCCTACTCCCAGATGAAGGAGATCTTGCTGACAGCCCCTATGTCACTAGGACCCCACCCCCCCAGGAGGCAGCCCAGTGCTGTGGGATGAACTTTATTTTGGGTCCTGCCGATCACCAGCATTGTGACTTTGGGAATCTCATTCTTTCCTTGGGCCTCAGTTTCCACATCAGTAAGACAATTGGGTGCATTTAGAACCCTGCTCCCTCCTGTGCATCTCCAGCAGGGCTTTCCCAGACAGGTCTCGGCCCCATTAGGGGATTAACAAAGACCCTGGCGGGGCATCCTGGCATCCCACAGCATTAAGACCCTTAGAGCCTTTATCCCTCCAGAAGGAACCATCTCAACACAAACCACGAACAAGCCCAGTTAGAAAAGCCAAAAACTTTAATGTTAACATGAGCTACATGGTCATGAACACAATGCGATGTGACCCACTCCAACCCAGGGGCCCCAGAAACCCTCCCTCCCCAAAGGTCTGGGCGGTCCTGCTCCTAGAGAGGGCATAAGGAAAAGGTGGGTGGGAGAGGCCCCCAGCCTGAGGACCCAGGGTCCCGCTAACCCACCACCCCCTATAGGAGGCAGTTGTAGCATCAAAGGGCTCAGAGGTGACACCTTTGCCCCCATTCCAGCCTCCACTGGGCCCTCACAGACGCTTTGGGTGAAATGGGCATGAGCCCAGTCCTCGGGCCTTGTCAGGTGAGCTCTTGGGCTCAAACACTTTCATCCTCTGAGGTGCTGCTCTACAGACATGGGCCCTCCCAGAGGGCAGGGGAGCTGGTACAGGGGGATGGAGGGGGTCGGTCCCCTTGGCCCAGCACAGCACTGCTGCTCAATAAATAAGTGCAGGTGACCTTGCCTGATGCAACAGCTGTGCCTCTGAAAGGAGTGGAGCTCATGGGGTTCCGAACACTGAAGCACCCCCGGGGCTCCTGGAACTGGGTGGCGAATCAGGCTGTAGAGTGGACAGCCATTCCCTGAACTTCCAGCTGACCTCCTGGGGAAGAATGAGCTTAGAGATGCTGGTCAGGGCTCAGCCACTCCCTCACAGCGGGACCTTCACCAAGCACTTTCCTCTCACCTTGCCCTCTTGAAAATGGAGTCCACAACGCAGGCTGCCCTCCACCTACTACCCAGGGCTCCTGTGGGGGTCAAGGGTATGAACCTGCAAGTGTGGACAGCACTAGAGGAGGCAGGCCTGGCACAGGTGAAGGAGAGTGGGGAAGTCCCCAGAGGGTGGGTGCCTCTGCCCACTCCCTGTGCCCTGGCCGAAGCTGGTGTTTCTAACTCTCCCTCCAGCCAGTCCTGGAGAGCTATGACCCTGGACAGAAGCCCCACCCACACATCCAAGCCTGGCCAAATCCTGCAGGCCCTCGGTCAGCTGGGCAGCCTGCTAGGAAGCCTCGGTCCCCTGGCAACCCTCTCCCCCAAACCCAAACCCAGAAAAGACACTGGCCCAGTAGGTAGAGCAGAGCAGAGCAGGGGTGTGTAGCCCGGGGCTGAGCTGGAATACGGTCCCGGCACCTGCCCTGGCACGACCGTCTCCTGGTGCAGGAAGGAAGCCTGAAGGAGCCCCTCTTCTGCCCCAGCCGCTGACTTGCAGGGGGTCCTGGGCAAGTCGTTCCCCACTGCTGGGCTTCAGCTGCCTAGGCTTTTATAGGGATTACAATTTGTCCTGCCCCTATTTGGGGACCATTAGGAGGCTCTGAGGAGAGGGAAAGGGAGTGTGGCATGTGGCAGCCCCTTCATCCTGGTATGGCTCCAGCTCAGCCAGTTGGGAGGAGGAAGCCAAGGCTCAGGGTGCCACTGAGTGCCCAGGTGACCCCAGGGTGGCTCCTCCTGTGCCAGGCTAGATCTCATCTATAAAGTGGAAATGCACTAAAGGTCCCCAAAGCCCTTTCCCTTAGTATGAAAAGGCATCTGGAGAAGGACGGTGGAGATGACACCCTCCCATGGCACCCCTGCATGTGACCTCTGCCCAGAGATGGAGAAAAGAATTGTCCCCTAGAGACCCCAGTGCTAGAAAGGCCCCCCAACTCCACCCTTTCTGCTCCTATCCAAATGGTGGAGTCTGAGTTGGCAAAGGATCAGACAGCAGCGGGGACAGGCTGGGCTTGAAGGCTGCCCAAAGCTAATGATGAAAATAGTCACTCCCCCTCCCCAACCCCCCTCCTTTGGCGAGGACAGACGATGGTTCCCATACCCAATGGTCACAGCCCCTCCTAGGAGGGCACGTGCTCACAATGATGATACAAAGAAACAGGGCTCCAGCCCCCACCCCACCCCTCCAGGAGGTGAGCGAGATTTCACAGAACAAACAAGAAAATCATTGGGGGGGCCTCGCTGACCACCCCAGGGGGTAATTATTGCTTTGGAGAGCGCTCTCTCTCTCTCTCTGTCTCCTTCTCTGTCTCTCTCTCTCTCCCTCCCTCCCTCCCCCTCCCTCCCTCCCCCACCCCAAGGCTCTGCAGACACCCAAGGGAGGGCTCAGATGGAGAGGGGAGGACAAGTCAGCATGAGCTCCCTCCCCCTCTGCTTGGGACAGCCAGGCTCTGCCCCATCCTTGAAAAGTGGCCCCTGAAAAAACCACAGCAATGATGGATAGAAAGAGAAGCCTCTCTCCTCTCCTGGCTCAAAATATTTCAAATGGTGTATAATAAACAAACATCAGAGAAATCACAATGTTTAAAAAAATGGGGGAGGGGCTGATGGTGGGCCTTAGATGGGAGCCCACGAGCCCTGCTCCCTCGGGCCCCAGCCTCAGGATTCACCCCTGCACGATCCTGAGAGGTTCTGAAGGCCTCGTGGACAAGAGGAGCATCTCCAGCGCTTCTTGCCGTGCAACTAAGAAGTTCCATGGAGGCGATGGAACGCAACCAGAATTTTAAAGGACACCCTGGGCCTACCCAGACTGAGGGACCCAGAGTTTCACGTGGAAGCAATCCTCGGTGGAACTGAACAGCTCAGGTGTTCCCAGTGGAAAATGCGGCCCTGATGGCGCCCAGGCCCTCTCGGCAAGGCTCGGCCACCCTCAGGAGTGCCTTATAAAGAAAATCAGTACCAAGGGCAAGTAATCAGAACGTTGAGTACAGCGGGCAGCTCAGCTACGACCCTACAGCAAGAGGAAGGAAGGGGAGGAGGAGGAGCAGCGGCTACCAACAGGGCCCAGCCAGCCAGGAGACGAGCTCCTGGAAAGTCCTTGGGTCTCCTCTCCACCCCGTAAAAGACTAGTCGGAGCTAGGAACAGGCCCCGGGTGTGAACACTAAGTCTACCAGCTAACTGGACTACGCCCTACCCCGCAGGGACTAGGTGAAGAGGAAGGCAGGCTGCCCGGGCCTCGGGGAGGTGGCGGAAATGTGCTTCTATAAAGACAGACCAGCCAGCCTGCGGCCTCCAGAGGCCTCCCTGGCATGCGAAAGGGCTCGGGGCCCAGCAGGGAAGGCAGCTGCCCAGGCTCCCAAATCTCAGCCCCTGCAGCATCCCACTCCTTCCCTTGAACCAAGACGATCAAGGGAACCAAGGGGCTGTGCCTTCAGTGCAGGATGACTGACAAAGACTAAAACGGGGGGCTCTAATGCCGCCCCAGACCCCTAAACTGAGGCAGAGGGGTAGAAAAGATGACCTTCAATCTCATCCAACAAGAAGGGTCCCCCTACTGGAAACCCTTACCATGGCACTGCCAGTCCCAATCCTAGCTTTCCCCAAGCCCCCTCCAACCCAGCATCCCCCACATGCTGAGACGGCGATCTCCCTGGGCAGGGGTTCTGGAACCTCAGGGTCCCACAGCACTTCTACCAAAACACAGGTGACAGTGTCCTTCCAGTCCACCCACAGTTCCCAGACGAGTCTGTCACAGTGCCATGGAGCAAAGGGTCCCCTTGCCTCCTTTCCTTCAGTTCCTGCTGGACCTCCATTCCTAGAGCCACCAGAAGAGGGGCAGGCAGGAGGGGATGGACAGATTGACTCGGACAGCTGCGGCAAAGCTCCTTCCACGGGCAGGCAGAGGGAGGCCCAAGCTCCTCTTCAAGTGGGGGTTGTGGGCCCCAGGAGCTGGCTCCGGATCCTTGCGAAGCTGCCCGGTCGGCTCTGGGGCAGTGTCCTGCCTGAACCCGGTGCCGCAGGAAAGACACTTGCTGGTAATTGGCACCATGGAGATGGCCGGCTGGGTCCTCGACTTGGCTCTGGGCAGCAGCTTCCGAGGGGGCAAAAGGGGAAGAGGTGGGACAGTGTTTGGGCAGGTGGGGGGTTTGCTCTGCCACCTCCGTCTTCTTCCGACCGCAGCCGCATCCACCAGGTCAAGGCCAGCCAAGTCAAAGTGCGCCAGCCCGCTGGGAGAGGGAAGGTCTCGGGGAGGAGGCAAAGAAAGGTGAGGAGGGGCCCGAGGGGGGCAGGTCTCCCCATTCTGCTTCCCCCGCTGTGGGGGAGAACCCCATCCTCCTCTGTTCAATGTGCCCCTGGGCCTGGGGTCCCAGGTCAGGGCTGGGTGGTCTCCAGCCATCTCGGGGAGCCCCTCCCCATCCCCGGCACTAAGATCGCTCGCCACAGGGCCCCACGGTGCTCTCAAGGGACAACTGGGATGCCTGCCGGAGCAGGGGGCCTGTGGCTGGGTCCACCATGGAGGAGGTGGGGAAGAGCTTGTACCAGCCCACGGCCAGGGTGGTCAAGTCCAGCTCCTCCAGCAGCACGCGGGCCACACCCATGAACTGCTTCCGCTCCATCCGCCCGTAGTTCCCCCACACGATCACCTGCAGGGCGAGAGACACGGGTCTGAAGCCTGCCCAGCAACTCACGGGCTCCAAACAAGAACCTGAGGTCCACACACGGGGTCACAGTCAAACGAGGGCTGGCTTCGTGGCCATGTGTCTAAACAGGCCGTGGGCTCCACCTCCCCCAACCCTATGCAAAACAGTCCAGTTTCACCGTTGTCTAATGGAGGCTCAGAAGTGAAATCCTTTTCCTGAGCTTGCTCCTCGGAGAGCTGATGGGGAGCCCACTGCCGGTGCATGGATAGATTCGTTTTCACTGGTGCCAAGGACTGACCGGGTCCCCACCACTTATACACTGAAGCTCTAAGCTCCACCTCCTAAGTCTGGGACTGTGGTAGGTCATAAGGGGCATCAAGTTAAGTTAAAATGAGGGTGGGCCCCAATCTAATCTGACAGGTGCCCTTTGAACGCATGGAGAGACACCAGGGGCATCACTCATGGTGAGTCTGTCCCACTGTGACATTTGTCGGGTTATCCACCAGCAAGGACCCAAGGATCCATGGGAAGCTTTCTGCTTCCCCACTCCCTCCACATCCCAGAAGGGACCTGCCCTGAGGACCAGAACACACAAACCTTTGTCCAGCAGGCCAGGGGTGGTCCTGAGATGGTCTTCAGGCTATTTCAAATGCTACCTGAACACCCCTGGGCCAGCTGTGTTTTCCAGACATTTCTGACAGTGACATAAGGCAACGAAGATACTGCCCCACCACCCAGCGTGCACACGGCACGTACAGTTGAAGAAGGTGCCCCAGACACTGTTACCTTACTAAGAGCGATGGAGGCTTTCCTTCTTACCCCCTTTCCATTTTTAAAAATATTATTTCTTGAGACCTGCTAAAACTGACTCACAACTCACTAATGGGTCTCAGCCCACATGGTGGAAAACCCTGCCCTCCACAGGACCTGGGCTTCCGGTTTTGCCAAAGTCCTACTATCTGGCCCCTGTTGCTTTGCCTGTCTGGGCTGGATGCAAGAAATGAGATGCAGGCAGGGATGCCCAGGTGGCACAGAGAGCCAGGCAGAGGGCCCTGTGGGCATTAACCAGGCCCTGCCTGCCCACGATGGGCACTCTTCAGCTCGTCTCAGTAACCGCCGGGCTGGGGCCAAACCTCTGTGGTCCGCCAGACTCAGAAGGCTGCTTCAGCAGGGGCCCGAACACTGTGGGCACAGATCAGCCCCGGTGCTCAGCTCCTTCCAGGGGGGGCCTCCAGAGGCACGATGCCCAGACTCAGGTACCACACCCTCGTGTCCACGCACACACATACACAAACAGAGCCTCACCTGCAGGACTTTGCCCTGGGGACTCTCAGGAAACAGCAGCACCTGGTTGTACAGCGGGTCTAGCGACTTGCGAGCGACTTTGGTCTTCTTCTTAGCGATGCAGACCCCGTTCTCTAGCAGGTAGGCCTTGATGTAGGCCGCTGGGGACAGAGGCCAGTGGGAGAAGTTCTAGGCTGGCTCCTCATGGGGTGTGCAAAGGGTACCAAATAGGGGGCGCCGCCCACCCACTGCCCAGAGAGGAGTGGCCCCAGGGAGTCTGGGAGGAGGCCCAGGAGCAAGTGGGGCATGGTGGGTGGTGGGTGCAGCTAGCACTGGGCGGCCCCCTCTCCTCAGGCCTTCCCCTCCCCTGCTCTGCACTCCCCTGTCCTCTCAGCCCATGACCTGCCCACCCCGCCTTCACATTCATTTGCTGACCCACTCACTCAACAAGCTGACTAGGCACATGTTGAGTACCCTGCTAGTCACGGGGTACAGCTACAGACCGGAAACACGTCCACCTTCCCGGAGCCCACTGCAGCGGCCAGACAGACAAGGCTGACCCACCATCTCCACTGGGTCCCTGGGGCCAACACTGAGCCACCAGCTTTGGGACAGAGGAGCCTCCCATGATTGGGCCCAAGTCTCTCTCTTCTATACCCTCTCGGACCTCCACCCACGGCTGGCAGAGAGGAGCTGGCCCCACACCTGGCAGTGTCTTGGAGCCTGGTTTGGCTGTCAGTCCCCGAGCCTGGATGATGTCCACTTCCAGCTGACCATTCCGCTCCTGTAAGCCGATCTCCACGTCACCTGCAGGAGGCCCCAGGAGATGACACTGAGAAATGGACTGGGAACTCAGCAAGGACCCAGCGGCTCCTCTCTGCTTAGGGATAAAAGCCCCTTCCCCGGCTCCAGCCCGAATAAGACCAGCGTCAACCCCATGCCAGGGTCCAGGCTCTGCCAGGGCTTGACCACGCACAGCAGGCTCCAGGTTGGGTGCCCACAGCAGGGCAGAGGGGAAGGGGAGACGCAGGACTTCTGGTGGGACTCCCTATCCCCGTCCACAGGTAGCAGGCGTTTGGGGACTTACCCATGGGTGTGGTGGCCAGGGTCTGGCGGCCCACAAACTGCGCTGGCCCCATGCTGCCCAGGAAGTCACTGAACTGGGCATCCGATGCCAGACAAACTCCCCCGTAGTTAAGGCTGCAAGGAGAAAAGGTGAATATAAATGTTTGCAGGGTGAGACAGAACTCCTGAACTGGGGCAGGTAGCTCCAGAACGTTCCCCTTTCCCTGTGGATCGTCGTCCACATCCATCACCCAGACTCTCCTCGCTGAGCCTCCAGGGAATGGCTAAGCGGATACTGACCTCTCTGGCTGTGAGAATCACGGGAGATGGTCTGTTACAGGCCAGGCTCCTGTTCTCTGAGGCCTTGATCCTCCAAGGGTGGTCTGGAGCCAGCAGCATCACATCTCCTGGAGCTAACTGATCACACTGCACCTGACTCCACCCCCTTCCCCTCTGTTGAATCAGAATCTGCAGTTTAGCCTGAGTCCCCGACAACCACTTTACGCACCAAAGTTTGAGGTGTCCCGACAGCAGCTTTGGACCTCAAGGTGAGCTGCTGTTGCTGCTGCCTGGCTACCAAAATCCACTTCCCCTTCCTTTGGTAATAAGATCTCAGATTTCCTTTGGGGATCCCTCTCCATGGCATGTGACTGCAGTGGCTGAGCCTGCAACTCAGCCTGACCAATCAGGCCATTCCTTCTCCTTGGCCAGCTGGCACAGAGAATCAGGCCTGTGGCCTAATTCAGTCAACAAGAATCTGCCTGGGAGCTTTGTATGAATTTGAGGGCAAGAGCTCTCTTTCCCCACCAGATGTGGGCCTCAGACATAGGATGGGAGCTTCATGGAGCGGAGCCATGGGATGGCCTGTCCCCGTGAAAAGCACCTGCAGACTCTACCAGCCCCCGTCCTGGCTGCTCACGTCTTCCCTCAACACTGTGAGGCACCCCAGTGTGGCCAGCAGGTTCTGGTTTTGAGTAAGCAGCCATCAGGCCAATGCAGGATGGGAACTTGACATTCTAGCCCGAGTGCTTTTCACTGTCACAACTCCCACTCCCCCTGCCCTGTCCCCCACAGAGGCAGCAGCAGATTGTCTGATGTCCACTGCCTCAGAGGAGGGCAGCCCTTAGGGTGCAGAGACCAAGAGAGGTTCTTGGCTTTTCGGTGCCAAGAAACAGACTTAGAAGAACAGGTACCAAACCAGGCTGTCCTGCCCCAAAGCAGCCAGAGAGTCGAGGAAAGTCAGGCAAGGAGGCGAGAGAGCTGAGGGTCCCGTTCAAAATGGCCAGAATGACGGGTGGTGTCTGAGGACCTCCCACTCTGCCTCCATGGTCCATGCATGACCAGCTCAGCACAATTCCCTGGCACACTAGGAACTACAGCCAGTGTCCCTGTCACTCACTCATTCATTTGACAAGTGTTTACGGAGCACACACTACTTCCAGGCACTGTTCTGGACATAGAATGTATCAGGGAACAAGTCAGTGACTCCCGCCCTCGAGTGTTTAGATTCTGCTGGAGGAAGACACATAAAAAAAAATATTGTCCCTAAATTATATAGTATGTCAGATGGCAGTAAATGTTGGGGAGGGGGAAGAGAGGACAAGAAAATTCCCGTGTGTGGGTGCTGGCTGCAATGCTGAACAGTCGATCAGGGTCTGTCCTGAGGTCTCTACCTCAGCCGTCCCTCCGTATCCACAGGGATGGGTTCCAGGACCTCAGAGACCAAAACCCACAGTGCTCGAGTCCCGGAATTAAACAGTGTAGGATTTGCATCCGATTCTCACGTATATTTTAATTTGATCATCTCTCAATTACTCAAACACCTAGCACAGTGGAAATGCTATTTAAATGACTGTTACACCTTACATGATGTGGGGAATAATGATCAGAAAGGAAAACATCTGTACCTGTTCAGTACAGTTGTAAGCAGTCGAGACCTGAGGCCCGCCAAGGCGCTCGGAGCTCTGAGAAGGGGCTGCCGTGGGGGCCTCCCCAACTCCCTTGTGTGAGTCCAGCACGGTGCTTGGCGTGTGGCAGGTCCACGTTTTGACTCTGGGAACTTTGGGGAAATTTTTTTTTCAGATATTATTGATCTGAGGTTGGTTGGATCTACGGATGCAGAACCCCTGGGTACAAAGGGCCGGTTGTACTTTGAACGTCACCCCAAGGCCTCTTTTAGCAATTTACACAGAGTCTTTCTACGTAAACTTCCACATAAGCACAAGCCTCGGGGAAATCTGAACCGAGTCAGATTGACTTTCCACAAACACCAGAAAAATGGAGACTCCATACTGAGAGTCAAAATAGCAAAGTCCAGAGCTTACAGAGTCACCCGGCATCTCAGGGCTCCTACAGGTTTTAACTCGCTTCTGCCTTTCGGCCCCAGGCTGCTACTATTCCTGGGCTCATTACACAGGTTGGCACGAGAGGTCGGAAACCTGCCCACCCTCCTGCCCTCTCTCGGCTCAGCTCGCCCAGGCGCTCACACAGACCACACAGTCTGAGGGCTCGATTTCGGCTGTGACAGCACTTTCCACCTGTGCGCAGGGCAGGCTGGAAGATCCCAAGGGTTAACACCCCAGAAACAGCCCCAACCAGTGACAAACTGGGAGTGGTGTGCCGCAGGGATAACTGGGTCCCACATCCAACACGGTCTCCCTGCATCCACCGCCCACGGTGGTCAAAGGCTGAGTAACCCTCCTGTACTGGCTCCTTCTCCTCCCATCTCCTTCCTCATGCTGCTGCCTCGCTGGGGACTCCAGGGAACACCTCACCAAGCACTCATTTCCACTCTCATCTTTGAGTGTGGGTCTGCTTCTGAAAGAAACCAAACCAAGACAGACGCTGAGCAGTTCTGGAGCCCAGGTCATCGGGCTTCTGTGGCTACCATCCGGATGACTTTACAATGCTATATTTTTAATTAATCAAGTATCTAAAAAAATAACCCACTTAAGCACCTGGGGGACTGGAATATGTACTCAGTAATACTCTGATAAAACCAAAGACCCTGAGTTAACATCATCGAGGCGAACGGCAGAGCTCAGGGCGACTAGGCCTTCCCTCCAGGCCCTGGGACTCTCCGCCCCACCCTCTTAGCGCTCTGAGGGGCACAGGCTGTCTTGTGCTAAAAGCAAAAGAAATGGCTGGGCCACTGGGCTCCGAGGAGGCGTGGAAGGAGCCCAGCCGCTCAGGCAGAGAGGCCTTCCACAGCCCGAAATTGAAAGTTTCCTCCACCGTCGTCATTGCCTGCTCCCCAGTTCCTGGTGGGGTGTGAGCAGACAATGGGGAACTGGCAGGCCTGGTAATTAGTGGTAATTGTTTCTAATATCTGGGCGGCTGCCTGATTTCCCATCCCAGGGTGCCTCGCTGGCTGCCAGGGAACCAGGCTAATGCCCTGGAAACCCTGAGCCAGCGCGTCCCCCACGGGCTGGAGGAGGAGGTCAGTGTGGCCGCTTCCTGCTGGCCGAAGGGCTGGCGGCTCTGGAGACCCCCTCCACCTTGGGTCTCCCCTGGAGCAGGAAAAAAGGCAAAGGCTACTGAGTCAGACCTGGAGCTCTGACTGTTGTCACTGCATTTTAGTGCTCTTATCTGTCAACAAGATCGAATTACCCCGTGGAGAGGGGACAGTCATTTAGGAGGCTGGAGCCTATGCTCTTATCAGTTGTAAATGTTTCCAAATTGTCCTCTTACAGGGCTCATTAGCAGAGGCACACTTAGAGCTGGCTGAATTATGAAGTGCCACATCATGCTACTACTTGGACCAGTCCTTGTATGCAACAGGAGCTTAATAAATGTTCGTTATCAAACCCCACAGCTGGTATCAAACAGGCAGAATGAAGGATACTGGTTAAGATTGGACTTTGGCATCACATAGACCTTGGATCCTATGTGCAATCTAGGGCTGTTTTCTGTCTTTCTTTTTTTTTTGTTTTTTGTTTTAGGTACTGGATGTTAACCCCAGGAGCACTCTACCACTGAGTTACAGTGATAGCCATCTCCCTGCCTCAGCTTCCTCCTAAATGACTGTCCACTCTCCACTTTTTTGGGGAGTAGGGGGGGGTAGCAGGAATTGAACTCAGGTGCACTCAACCACTGAGCCACACCCCCAGCCCTATTTTTTTTTGCATTTCACTTAGAGATAGGGTCTCCCTGAGTTGTTGAACGCCTTGCTTTTTGCTGAGGCTGGCTTTGAACTCGCGATCCTCCTGTCTCAGCCTCCTGAGCTGCTGGGATTACAGGTGTGTGACCACCGTGCCGGGCCCCAGCACTTTTTATTTTGGATTTTGAGTCAGGGTCTTGCTAAGTTGCCAAGGCTGATCTTGAACTTGCGATCTCCCTGCCTCAGCCTCCTCCTGAGTCACTGGGATCAGCAGGATCTGTGGGGGCAAGTTTTCAACTTCTCCTAGCTGCAGTTTCCTTATCTATAAAATGGGAATAAATGGTAATTGCCTTGCTGAATTGCTGGGGAGAGCTGGTGAGATGAGTCAGACTCGGCACAGAGGATCTGCTGTGAACCCAGGAGGGAGACGCCCTGGCCTGGCCTGCAGGGGCCTCCTCTTGGCACTCTCAGGGCTTCTCTGGCTCCAGGCCTGTTAGGCAGTGCAGCAGCTGGACATCTGCAACCCAGCCCCGGCCATCTGGAGGAGTGGGGCAGGGCTGCAGACCAGGTTCCTCCAGGGATGGCAGGCCCTGAAACAGGGGACACCCATGTTCGACTGGCCTTTCATTTTGTGTTATGGTGAATTGAGATTTCTTGCACTTCAAATTCCGTTAGTTTTGTTCATGGACCTAAAAGTCATCTGCCTTTTTTTTTCATTAACCTTTGAGCTTGGTTTGGCCCCTGGATTTTCTGTGCTCTTGATAGTTAAAGTAATAATTGGGTTTTCTGGGGTTCACTCCAGTCTCTTTTCTGGGTTTCGCTCCAGTCTCCACAGCATCAGGAATTTTAAGGTTGCAAAAGCCTCACAGTGATGACTGGCTACAGGGTTCTCTGAAAGCTCCTGGGAATTCACGCGCTTGCTGCCCACTTGTGCACCCCTGCATGTCCGTCTGTCCAACCACCCTGCCATGCCTACAAATACATCAATTCTGCTGTAGTGCAAAGTATGCAGTTCTAAAAATTACTGTGGGTTGCA